CCCCTTGTCGTAAACACCTGTTGTCATCACTGACATTGAGTGGTCAATTCATACAGTTTTCAGTCATTTTGCCCTTTACAAAAAGTGGAATCTGTTTCTGGGGATATTAAAAATGTCTTTTATCCCAGTACTGAAGAAGCCACATGCCTATTATACGAAGTCACATGACAATAATGGCACACAATCACAATGTTTATGGACGCCTTTTGCATACAAAAGCATAGTGGATATACGAGGGGCTTTCAAAAAGTAGTCAGCCCAACTATATTCTCCAATACATGTGCAATGTTTGAAAAGTTTCCGTTTCATTTTGACGGAATAATGTCATTAGCAAAGCCATATCCAAAATTTCACATATGTGGGTATTGTAGTTAACGAGATATTAGTCATCTCAACACATGGGGTATAATATTTCTTTAAAAAATGCAGAAAATGAAAAACGATCTGTCATTTGGTATCTCTTGGATAATGGTTTGCCCTCAGCTAATATAAGTTGTATGCTTCTCTGGAGCGTCTAGTGTACGTCTCTTTGTAGAAGTGTTACCCGAGACGGTAGTCAGGGATGACACTGCTACAAAAAGGCGTACATCAGACCGTATTACCCGAGGGAGAAGCATACAACGTATTTATCATACCGCCATGTTAAATGTACAAAACATCATTTCATGTTATTTTGAAGATCTCTACCGACTATATGACATGTAAACAAAATGGCGTCTGTTTTCTCGACTGGATTTATAAAATCAGTTTAACCTATTCTGACATGCTTAAAGCTGCTATAAAAATAGTTAAGTATGTTTAAGTTGAGTGTGCAAACGATTCAATGAATAAAATAGTTTAACTAAAGCAGCGAATGTCGGTAAAATAAATGTGTACATAGTGAACTCAAAAACAGCTAATTGAACGGTTTTCGAACTCCATGAACTTTCAAAAACATTGTGTCCAGATATTCAAGCTGGCTCTGTTTACAATATATTGAGAGCTGACACTTGTGTGACCATTCAGTATTTAGTTTGAACCCTTGCTATCATGTATGAATAGTGAAAACATTACTAATAGAATAAGTTATGTCCTTATGATTACGTCATCTGAAATTGGGGTGGGTAGTGTCTCCAAAACAAGCTCTTTCAGTAACCATGAAGTGGGGAGTCACTTTAACAAGCGAATGTAGTTTCAAATTGCCTCTTTATGTACTTTGATATCTAAGTTTGATTCTAGCGGACTTCTGTCTATCTCAAACAAACAAAATGTTTCTTGCATATTGCAGAGTTTGCGTTTTTTAGGGGGTACCAAGATAAAAAGTGAAACAAAATAGGGATCGTGAGGCTGGAACATAGGAAAAGCAAATTGCTTGAGTTTGACAGATAATATGTAGAAAAACAACATAAAAACAGTTGCATTTTTTATCATTTTCTAGGTGAGGCTAACTGTTTTTTTAACTTCTCTCGTACGTACCAAGTTTTCCAGTATTACTTGTATTATTAGTGTTCATTAACAAATAACATTTACAGGTATTAGGATATGTGTGGTAATATTGCAAGAGATATTTTGCCCTTAAATCAGAGTACTCAAAGGACATACTAACAAAAAGTGGAATTCATCTTCGATTACGTTCAAGCACAATGATTATGTAAATTTCTAACATTCGTTGCGAAACTGAATTTTCCTTTAGTGCCAAACAAACACATCATGTTATAACATTTCTTAGGAAATCCTGATACAGGCATATCCAAGAGCTTTATCCAGTATTTCATAAATTGTGTTTGTGCTTCTACATGTGGGACACGACCACATTTACCATAAACCATCACATTTGGAAAAGTCTGGGGATAGCCAAAAGGATAATCAAAACTGGGCATTTTGTTTCAAACTGATAAACTGTTGTCCTTGTTTAAAGGAGGTTTCTACTTTGCCATGTCGTCTTTATTTGTACATCTTTAGAAAACAAAAGTAGAATATTTTTACAGAGATTTTTCAACACTGACCCCATATGTTTTCAAATATATGAATTAAGATAGGGAAAATTGCCCGAATTTTATAAAATCCTCATGTCAGTATTTGGTGTAAATCCAGCTAGGGTCCATGCAGGTAGCAAAAGTAATGTAAGTCCCCATGTTTCCTAGTATGGTGATCTAGCTTCAGTTGTTGGCGATCTATAGCCCGTCTTCTATACTGTATTATCTTCTTTAATTGGAATGATTTAGCTTTGCTCGCTAGTTTTATATTCATATATGGGATTCTATAGTATTTTTACTGTCCATCGTCGACAGATTTAAATCTTCCAAATGTTTTCACTTTTTATTGTATAAATTGTTTTCGTTACGATATGACTGAGATATTGCCGATGTGACGTTAAATATTAACTCACTCACTCACTCGTGTCAGTATTTACACATATCAAGTGATCTCTCCTTGCTGAATTACACGTATAGTTTTACCCAAGTGAATATGTATGTACACCCATGCATGCTCGGCAATTATGTTTTACATCTAACCTATATTTATGCGTGTATGTATTATGCTGTTGACAGGTTTTGTACACACATCTGATGCCTATTGAGTGTAACGTGTAGATCCGTTCCGTTATATTGAAATATAAGGTAGTATAGTAGTTACGATCTTTTTGCCTCTGTTGATTTACAATGAAATCCTGTCACTACACTGACTGCTTGCAAAACAACCATGACCGGCGGCTGCAGAGTACATTGGGTAGGTTTTTAGCAATCGTCCAATTGTACAACGTTGTTTTAGCTTAAAGTGAAAGGAACCCCCAAATAATGGGTTTCTGGTAAATCTGCACATCGATTCGTGGCGCCTTAGACGACGTAGCACTAATAGATGGAGAAGAATCAAACGTTTGCTGGTATTTGTCAGAAACAAACATTAAAACACAACAAATCGAACCGTGGATATTTCTTTGGACTATCTCACCTTGCGATAACCTGTAAACGTCACCAAATGTGATAAATATTTCAACAAAAACACAAAATCCTCTCAATCGTATCTTTACTATATGTTGATAAACACATTTTTCAAGATAATAAATGGCATGCGAAGGATTTGTAATTGTCCATGATTGAACAACGATTTACACTTAAATATGAGTGCATAATCTTACAATGTTCATAGTCATAAATGATGTCTCTATTTCAATCTTGCAGTAAAGCCGCCTGATTCTGACCGTCATGGGGCTTTGAGGTTTCATTCGCTGGTCACGACCTGGGTTCGATTACCCACATGGGTAAACGGGTGAAGCCCATTCCTGCTGTCCCCAGCCGCGATATTGCTAGCATATTGCTAAAAGCGGCGTAAAACTAAACTGACTAACTCATTCACTATCCCTGTTTGGTTTGCGCTTGTTGGTAAAACATTCCCAGGAAAAAGGTATATGGAGGCAGTTCTTGAAAGACTTCGTGCAGATCATTTTAGTGTTGTCAACGGCTGCTACTCGTCATGATGATATTCGAGGAGCAGCCTGTTTCTAAAAGTACTTTAAACTGAAGTAAATGTGTGTGACAGCAGATGAAAAGACGTGCAAACACCGTCATGAACGACCCCACAGGACCATCAGCAGACCCGTCAGCGATGGTCTCTGGATCCATCTCCTTGTGCTAACTTGAAACAAGTTAGACTGATTGTAGACGTGAGGTGTCATGAGCGGATGAATATTTTCTGCGCGAGTGAGTTGCCATGGAAATTAAGATGGATGTCGAGGATGTTTTATCATGCCAGTTGTCATGGGAATGAAAGTTTGTGGATACAGCTGATATATGTGTGATCCCGAGGGAGCTTAATTACACTATGCAGCTTGCTATACGGGACAGATTCTGAAGGCTCCATGTTGTAACTGCGAATATGGGTGTTGCTGATGCCGATTTGGAGGAGGTATCCTGTGTTTGTTAAAGGTTCCTTGTTATTCAAGAAATTCAGCAAAACATATTTCTGTTAGCAAAAGTCATATTAATTACACAAGTATTTTCGGTTACTACTCGAAATATATCATCCTCAGCGCCAAAAGATGCATACAGCTCACACTGCCTTTGAAACGCTAGAAACAACCACATTATTATCTCAGCACTTTGCCAAATCCGTTCAGTAAAAGTTTTTGCGTATGCAATTTCTGGACGGAGAAGACATGGTGAGAAGGATGGGCATTCTGCAGATCATTTCTGAGGAGGATGAGTCACTACGTGATGACGTATCAGGATAAACCGGTTGTCCCGCTGGGAACCTGGTTCAAAACTTGGCCTGCTGATCTCTTTGGTCGGCAAACAACATCGTGAAGTCCGCTGGGCGTACCAGCATACAGTTGTTGCCATCACAAATTGCAAATGTAGGTTAGGCTCTCTTGTTACGATGAGCAATCTTGTACATACACTGTAATGCCCATGACTACACCCCCTATCCCTTCACCCAGGAATTAAGGTCCTCATTAGGGTCTAACATGCATTATATTTCAGTCTGTATTTTTGGCGTGATTATTTTTCAAACTAGATCCTTATCAAACTGTGAGTAGCATATACTGATTTCATGTCTAACGCTATGTCAATGTTCTTCTTGACATGGTTTCGCCAGTGGCATTGCAGAGAAGGAAATCCCTTTGGGTGTGTTTGGACAACAATGCTCAGGAGATAACACGAACACATTCTGTATATCCATTGTGAAGTGAGGTGAGGTGAAATGGGGTTTAACGTCGTGCTTGAGAATATTTCGCTCATATGACGACGTGCATGTGTGTATGTGTGTATGTGCGGCTGCTTGTACTAGCCCAGACTGAAGCTGGTTTTATAGTGCTAGCCCACTGAGATACCATGCCGCAGTGAAGCATGAATACCCCACTCAGACACATTATACTGACTCCGAGCCGACCAGTCCTTGTTGTACCCATTAATGCCGAGCGCCAGGCAGGGACCAACACGTACCGCATTTTAACGTCTTTTGGTATAACGCGGTCGGGGATTGAACCCGCGACCTTCCCTTCTCCGGGCGGACGCTCTAACCACTTCACCACGGAGGCGGTTCCATTGTGAAGTAGGGGATGTACAGTTTGTGTACTGGTATTTCCGTTGTAGGTAGTAGCTCAGAAGGTACACAGAAAGTAATAAGTTTGTGTGAATATTTACTGGAATGACACCTTATGCTCCCACCTAATCTTCCCAATCGGAGGTCAAGAAGACCTTGTCAAGTCATTCGATAAATTTTCAGAGGAATATACTGAATATGACAACATTTTTACCCTCGATTCTTTATCGGCAGATATAGTCTGTCGTTTTCTCTTCACGCCGAAAATCCGGGTTCGATTCACATGGACACAATGTGTGAAGCCCATTTCTGGTGTCCTCCACCATGACATTGCTGGAATATTGCTAAAAGCGATGTAAAACCCATATTCACTCACTCACCCTATCGTTTACGTTTTGAACTTACAATAAACTCGTTAGGATGAGAAACCCTAGTGGCTGCAAGATGAGTATACCCCCCATGGAGTTGAGATTGATAATACGATGTGCCGTTGAGATTGACATCCAATGATCGAGGGGAAAATACAAGCGCCTTGAGCATGCACTAGTTGCGTGGTTATGTGCGCTATATAAATATCCTGTAATAAACATGTGTTAGGTAATACCACAATACAAATAGTGTACTTGATAGACACTATGTGTTCAGTTAATTATTTCCAACTTTAACGGTATTATCTAAGTTAAATAAGTGACATTCTTAGTTCATCCAACAGACTTACATCAATTGTTGTGTGAACAGGTTTTACGGCAATTGCCAACATAAGGACATACGTGTTAATCTTCGTACCTTGTAAAGTGTGTACAAGCATGACAGAGGCAGGGATCACAGCCACTGACTCAGAAGCATTTTTCTAACCTGAGTCAATTGAAATGGGCGTGGATATTACAACTGACACCCACTGTATCATCAAAACAACTATGTGAAAACCCTTGTTCTTTCTTTGTAAGCAGTGGAATATCTACACGTCTACACAGTGGTAGTATTTTGAAATCAACAGCTGGAGTGTCTGGTTCATCGATCACTATATGGTCTGGTGTGTATATAAGGCTGTTGCACTCACTTGAACACCTGTAGCTCTCTGATGCCCATCTCTAATTTGAGAGGCACTTTGACCACGATTTTCGTAACACAGCCATTCTGATGGCACAGTCTGTGCTCCAGTTGTCGCCCTTGGTCCACCAGGTTGACGTCTGTTGACGTTATCTCTCAGTCAAAATCGTGATTGTAATCTGCTAATTACTGACTGTGAAAGGTTAGGAGCTCGTGCCACAATGTCTTGTTCCAACTTCCAGAAATTATTGTCCTCCTGAGAGGGTACGTAAGTCCCAAAACTTTTAAAGTCAATTTAAACTTACCAATGTTTTAAACGTAGTATTTTTGTTATTTTAAAGTATAGCTAAACTTTCCTACAATCGCCAGCGATTGAAGGGATGGTGGAAATCCAGCTAGGGTCCATGCAGGAAGCAAAAGTTCCCATGGCCCCTAGTATGGCGATCGACCTTCGGTTGCTGGCGATCTATAGCCTGTTTTTATATTATGTTTTGTCCAAATACTGCTATTAGATTTAACTTTACATACTAGTTTTAATTCTAACTGCGATAGTGTAGTTGTTTTACTGTCCTTTGACGACAGGTTTTATATTATATTCCATTTCAACCTCAAATATGTTCTCGTCACGATATGGCTGAAATATTGCTGATGTGACGTTAAATATTAACTCAATCACTCACTCCAACTTGCAGCATGTTAATTGTGCGAAGCCGTTCCTGACTTGACACATGCCGCATGTAAAACACATTTAATTGAGTTGATATGTCAGAACAACTTTTTGTCTGGATTTTATCACTGAAATGTTCAACAACACATTGAAACATTTCAAATTTCGAATTTTACCCCGACCATCAAGCACGTTTAAGTGCACGTCACGCAAAACGCCCGCACGAAGTTGGCGTGCTTGGACGACATCCATGACTCGTTGTGAATGGAATAATTATTTCTAAATCCATATACAATCATAAAACTTGGTTCCAAAACAGTTTATTTACGTTTTTCCTATTAACGTAATTTGCGTACTTAACGGCACAATTTCACACATTTTCGACAATATTTTGGCATATATTATACTCATGGAAGCGAATAAGGGAACACAAGAACGTACAGATGTTCCTTTATTCTTTTCCAGGTTTCTTAACAAGGTATGTATTGCCCCGTGGGTGAAAGCATGCAATGAACACTTGAAGCGTTCGAAATAATCGCCGGCCCGGAGGCCCAGCGCCAGTTGTTATTGTATCGGGCCGGCAGTTTCAAATATCTGCAGGTCTTTGTGGCCTTCAGTAAATTATCTCAGTCTGGAATATTTCCCATAATTTCTTTCTTTATTAACGTTCGGGAATCATCCATGATCCATCATGTTACGAAAACTTACAGTTTCACCTCCTGGTTTCAGCGTTTTTCGCATAGGAATGTCAAGTTCTCTCTGTGCCATAGGGTTTCGCTAACTGATTTTGTAGAAACAGTGTGAAATTGTGTACAGTGTAATTTTTGTGTGTGTTTTTTATGTTAACAAAACAGGCCTGCAGATTTCATTCAGGGCCTGTAGATTTTAAAGCCTGTACTTCCACGTGTTCCCTTATTTGTTCCCATGAGTATATATTAATTGGGGCATATGTACTCACTTTAGCTTTCTATTGATACACTAAAAGACTTAATATCCCTTACGACTTGCCTGAAATCGATAAATGAAACGTCCAAACGGAGAAACAATTGCTCTGTACATCGAAAAATGTCGCACGCTGTGTTGTCGGTATTTGCCAAACTGGTTTCAATCACAAGTTGCGCGTATGGTTTTGCGCCAGACATTAGCCATTGTGTCTAGGGCTGAGTTCTGACTCCAAAGGAGTTATAGGGTATTCGTAAAGAGCGCCCCAAGGACATAACTCTACTGGGTTCGCTTGAAATAATGTTCGGTAGGTAGATGGCGTTAGAATCGATTTAATGCAACGTTGCAATATTCATTCGAACTTTTAATTTATATTGTAATCTAAATACGTAATTATTTGGGGGGAATAAATTATATGGTAGCTTCCCTGAGGACTGATAGTTAGTATTATTGAGAGAAATGTATTATTTATTTTTAGAGAAGTGTGGTGTGAAATAGTGCCTTTAATTTGTAACTATACACAACAACTGCAAGATCAGTTATACAATGAAACATCATCACTGTGGACCATTCGCTGCGGAATCAACAAAGTGTTAGCTAATTTAATTCCCCCTTCGCCTTTTGGAAACAGGAAATCGGTGTATGTTGGTGTTCATTTACCAATCTGTACTGAAAGGTTAAAAGCAAAATACTCGACTAAGGTGGAACTGAATGACGACTTCAAAAGGGAAAGTTCATCCCAAAATAACAGCTATCAACGATAAACAGCATCAAGGCAGAATGATGTTCATGGTTGTGATCAGAGGTAATCTTCCTCGTTTATATATTGTCCGCTCGAGACAAAGAGTCTGCAGTTAAACTATTTTCAATATCACGTGAGAATGGGGAGTGAGTGAGTTTAGTTTTAGTTTTGCAGCAATATTCCAGCTGTATGGCGCCGGTCTGTAAATAATCGAGTCTGGACCAGACAATCCAGTGATCAACAGCTTGAGTATCGATCTACGCAATTGGTATGCGATGACATGTGTCAACCACGTTAACGAGCCTGACCACCTGATCCTGTTGGTCGCCACTTACGACAAGCATGGGTTACTGAAGATCAATTCTAACAGCCATAGGTACATTGGCAAGGTCACAATTGCATTAGATGAGGCTGGCCTCGTACTACACAAGTGTATCATCCCCTGTCTATTCGAAAGTGAGTGAGTTATGATTGACAGTCATATCGGCAATATTGCAGTCATATCGTGACGAAAACAAGTTTTAAATTCACCCTAAATGCGTAAATTTTATAAACCTGTCAACAAAGGACTGTAAAACCAACTAGAATATCACAGTATCAAGAAATACAATTAGCATTCTTCTCTAAAATTGGATTTCAAATTAGGACAATGCAGTTTAAAAATGGGCTGTAGATCACCAACAACCGATGGTAGATCACCATACTAGGGACGTCTATTCGAAAGGAGGAAATTATACAAATAGATCTTACATAGTTACGTATAAAAATGTATGAGTTGAATAATCTAAACTACCGGGGGAAAAACCCGCCTATGTTTGATGATGGATAGTAAGCCAAAGAAGAAATGGGTTTTTGATGGTGATGCATTGGATACGGATATTACAGATGTGTTTTGGAGATTCGGCGACTGTTTTCAGACTATGATTATTCATAACGTATGCACTGATAATATTGTTAAATATCATTATATGAGTAATTTCTTTTCTTTGTCTGTGAGTGAGATTCTATGTAATACTCTGGTCAAATCACTGCTGCAGACACAAAGGCTTCAAACATTAATTCATTTAACCGCTCGAAGACCAAACCAAGACAAGATCAGCACAATCACTGAGACACCTGAGGTGACTTAGCGTTTCCATAAAGAAAACTTAACGCTACGTTTTCTCAAGTGTAAAAAATAAAACCTAATAAATTTTGTAATACATCTAAAGTGGCCAGTATGCATCCCTGAACTATAATAATTCCAAACGTTTGTCTGTATCAACATTTAGCCGATAAGGGTTTTGTCTTATTAACAAACCTTGATATCAATACTTTATTTATAGTGGTTGAAAACACGTGTGTATTATAAGTATTCATGGAACAATGTATTCTGCTTTAAGCCGTGATACAAAGGACACGATTTCCCTTTCTCTAACACCTAGTGTCATCGCTATTTGACTATGTTCAGAAACCAACAATTGTAATATGGCCGTATATTCGACTATGCGTTTGGTTACCGACAGGGCATGTTTACACTTGTTTTCACTGATCAATGCGTATCGACCACTATTTTGCTTTTTTATTCTCCGGACAATGGAAGTTTTAGTCTCGATTATACTTTTATGAATATGGAAAGGATCATGTGGCTTTATACTCATCGTATCAGAAAACTAGTATTACCTTTACTCATTCATTGTAGATGCCCGGTAACATCCATGCTAAAAAGTACGTACATTAGACGCGTACCTTTCCATATCTGTCCGACTATCTGAGCGAGCACCTGCAGCTGACGTCGACACAGTCCGTTACTGATGCCTTTCCATAACGGCGTCCAATGCGATGGAACTGGCGAATCGATAGCAGCGCCTCCAACCTCGTTAGGAGGGTATGTATATTCTGTCAGGTGCTCAGCTCAGTCAGGATTCCAAATGCTGTGATGAAGGTTGAAGGCAGCAGTGAACAAGCATGGACTAATGCATGATCGAAACTAACTCGTTTTGTTTGGAACACTACACCGATGAGACTCGTTCATGGAAACCCTCAGATTTCATCGTTACAATTATGTACGTTTCAGTGTTTGACTCATGGCGTGTATTCTGGGATGTCGAAACTCCTGTATGACTACTGTTGAGTTTTAAACTTATCGCACCGTGAAGTGACGACTTAGGTGTGATACTTGTTGTTTAGAT